ACCCTCTCACGTTGGTGTTGGAACGTGCGGGTACACAGCAGTAGTGTAGCTACGCGCTCCAATGTTAACGTGAATTACGGTAGCGATCACTCATTGGACTGTTAAAACGGGCTTGTGGGGGGCCAAGTGCTAATGATGGGTGGGAATGCACATAAGTGGGTGGATTAGCCAAGAAACCTCAATTGGGTTTCGACAAATCTCAGAGAATGGAAAAAATAGGTATAAAGTCGACAAAGAAAACAAGGTCCCCTGCTCCGGTTAGCGGAGCGTGCACCTGAGCGGGTGGAATTTTCAAAACAGCTTATAATTCAATCTGAAAGAAGATACAAGTTAAAAGGAGCGGAGATTATGTGCTACTAGTATGGGGCATGCGCTTGTGTAGAGGAAGCTAAAATCCACACACAATCCATTTCACACTGTCAAAATACTGCATGTAGGCCAGCAGAAGAGCGAGTGGGTACGCGGACGAGGAGTATCAAACTGAAGAGTGCAGTACGCGGAGGATGGACAAGGCTAAAGCCAGAAAACATTTCAGTTGTTCTTACATTATAGCTGTAAGTACTGCGCACGCGTAAGTGGGCGAAGTCAAACGGGTTAAGTACAATAATTTAATGGGACTACACTAACCCATCAGCTTCATAGCGTCGGTGTGTCCAGACTGTGCAGCTTGATCGAGTAGACGATAAGCAGCTTTTTTACCCTCAGGACCGTGTCCACGTCCTCTTTCGAGAAATCTCAACGCTTGCTGATACGTCGCTTCCAGATGTTCATCACTTAAAATAATGAAATAATGTAAAACAAGATTTCCCTGAAGATATGTGAGCACTACTGAAGACTAGCAGTATTGAACCCTTTTCACGCTTCACCTTTTTGTGATAAGTAAACCATGTGTTAACATACTTTCTAGGTAAGAGCCTTTGATATTGTTTCGGTCAATTCCAGAATAGAAAGGCTGCGAAGTATTGAAACATACCTATTCTCCGCTGGCTTCTCTGGCATGTATTCTTCACCAGGTGTCAAAGGAGGAGGAGACGGTGGTACATTACTTTCATCGACAAGTTCTATATCGTCAGGAGAAATTGCCAGATCGGCTGGAATGTCGCATAGAGAAATAAGTATGCAGCCCAACTAGCTAGAACATAAATGGAATAAACCGATTGAGTAATCTTTTCCAGGGGCCGTTTGCAACAAGCCCCGAAGGTCTACAGGAATATATCCCCAAAGACCTTCAGAGCTTGTTGCATACGGCCCCAGAACGCCTAAGAATATGTATAAATGCCAGCCGCCAAATACGCACTCAAACAGGAGTTGGTTGCTCAAACCCATGACGGATCAAAACGAATATCCTTTACAACCATTACTGAATGCCGAACATGCGGCGCATTCCAAATGGAATGGGATCACCGATAGCTTTGCAAGATTTCCCCTGCGCGGGGTTTGGAAGCAACACGTTGCGCGCTGGCGTCGCAACGGTCTGTCGATTTTTGTGCTGCCTTGAAGAGGCTTCAGTAGGATGAACGGGTTGGAAATTGAAAGGAACTGTCACTGTCTATCAATCAAGAAAGTAGGGGACAGTGAACAGACCACAAATGCATCCACAGCCGCTCTGAAGGCATCGCCTGTAACCACACTTAAAAAAAAGCCCTCCTCCGTCACTTAACACCTTGACGACAGCGCGGAAACTATGTTTGCTGCGTTTTACACACCGCAGTGGACACTGTGGCAACTATAGTTGCCACACCATTTACATTCAGTTTTTTTCTTGAACGCGGCATTTCTTCCTAGGTTTTTTGTGTTCAATTTTCAGCCATTCCACAACATAATCAAGAATCACGTGGCTTACAGAATGATCAAATATTCTGTAGTTTGGCAGAGATTTTCCGGACCAGACGAAAATATCCGCTCAGTTCATTCCTCATTTTCTCTTCAGTAACACGATCATGTAGATAAGAAAGAATATTAGAAATAAGTAAAAGCTATTCGTGTGGCAAGATATGTGTTTTTACCGAAACAACCGCGTCCAAAATAATTCCGAAATCACTAAAGCAAAGTAAAACTTGCCTTTTCAATGCTGTAATACGTTATTTCGACCGCACTTTCAGAACCGTACCTTCCGATAGATTTGACATGCCAAGTGAAAACATTTTTTCGCATCGAAATATTGGGTATTTACAGTTCGAAATCCACGGATTCGTTGTGGGGCGGCGACGCTCGCAGAATCGCTCTGATCCCACGCGGCCAAAAATGCCAAAACGCGCGATGTCGCCAACGTGGTAATCCCGGGTGGAGCGATGGAATCATTTTGTTATCCTATGAGTTAGAGTGAAAGTTTGGCTTCCCCACCCACGGTTTTCCTACCCAAGAAAGCTCGCGCGAGTGGATCTTAGGCGAGCAAGTACCAGAAAGCAGGAATGGAGCGGGAAGGTATTCATCGACATCGACAATTATGAAGAGAATGGAGGGGTAGTTCATGGATGATCCAGCTAAAGATGACACAGAAGTACTTCAATAGGCGCTTTCGTGAACGAGCAAACAATATTGTTCCATCTTTTTCGAAGCATTAATTGCATTGCAAAGACCCTTTGCTTCGAAGTTTGATACTCAAACAGATGATGCTGAGCAATTGTTTAGATACTGTTAACGTGAGACGGCTTTGGTCATACTATCTCCTGACGTTTATGACAGGATACAATGCGTTAGACGTCATGACGATCCAATCGGAACTTTAGTGGCATTTGGAAGCACGCTCGGCCTTGTTTAGAGTTGGGTTAATGGTTTGTCTCTTATGACCAGACTATTTGGAAGAGCCGATGTCAAACGCTTCGTAATCATCCCCTTGGCGCACCGATAGCCTAAGTAGAACAAAGTCAGCCCTTGTAGAACAGGTCTCCAAGAATCTTCCGACTTGAATAGCGTAGTCTTTCATTGTTAATGCAACGATCTACATTACATTCCCATTCAGATCCGGGCCATTTAGGAATTAGCTGCGCTCCTCCTATTGTAGTCACGTCCAATATGTACAATTTACAGGCACGTCCAATACATATAGCACCGTTAACAGTCACTATATTGCTCAGTTAGACCCCTCGACTAACATAAAGGTGAATACTAAAAAAACGTTAACTCATTGTTGAGACTAACTAGCCAGAAGATTCCTTGCATATTTATATCTTCAAACTGCATCCAAAGGAAGCGACAAATCCAATGATGTTGAAAAGGAAATGGAGCACGAGTCCGCAACGAAATTGTCGCAAACAGTGGGTAGCCTACCGGAAAAGATAAAAAGCAGAAAGCGTTTACAGTTGATCAATCCATTTGGGATGCGGCACGCATCCTACTTCCATTTGTACATTCGTAGTGGCGTTTCAATGCGATGTTGCCTGTGAAGACAATGGCTTGCGGGGTCCAGCCGATGTACAAGTCAGTGTTTTTATCCTCCCAGACAAGTCTGGTACCAATTAACCGACCCCGGAGGGATGGAGGGCTCGGTGGCCCGGGCCACTCACGACTCAGGATTTGATCCCCGAACCGCTTTCGTGGTAAGTGTGCCACTTGCCACTACACCACTTCCACCCCACCGGAAAGCTGTGGTATGCAGCTTTAGGCAACATCTCCGAGAAGAAGGGTAGCAGCCACACGGGTTCTTTTCTCAGCATACGATACTCGACCATACCATAATCCACCACACCGTACTAGTCACTAGTCATTGGCGCAATGTGGCTCCGGGGGGGGGCACCCCGCGGCATCGCGTCAAAATCACGGAAACGCTCCGTGTTAGGACTGAGCTCTTTAAGAGGAGAGGAACTCTGGTGTACGCAAGCAATTTTCCTATTCTCCGGAAATCGTCCCTGCTGTTTAGGCTTAGTCCTAGATGACTTTTCTCAGGGAGACCCCCCCCCCAGCCACATTGCGCCCTAGTCATTATACTGTTACTTCCATTGCTAATTGAAATTCTGGAGAAATTGTCAAGAAACAAGAATCATTGGAAGCACTCACCAAAAGTATTTTTTGCTTTCCTTTCCGCGGGTTCAGTTTCGCCTTCACTATTTAGTGCAACTACGTTCTTATCCGACGGTTTTCGTCCTGTTTCGGGCTTTTGAGCGGACGTTACGATTAAGACCGGCACCACACCATAGAGTAGCAACCGGTTTAATCGCATACCTCAAAAGCCGACATGTTTGTCCTTTTTTAAACTTGATTTAGAAAGACAAGAGCATGGATACAGTCGCAGATATCACGTGAATACAAAAGCGAATATGCAATAAATTCAAGAGAAAGAAGCAAGTAAAATAATCTATCGGTGTAAACGGGAAATCAATGCCAAGCAGCGGATATTGCCAATTGCACAAACTGTCCGTAGAACTGCGTCGTTGGCCACTTGCCGATGCACTACGCGCAACTGCAGACGCTTATGTGACGATTCTTTACTGCCGGACTGCAGTTGTTCTCGTTCTGTTGCGAAATGAAGTTGCGTTAAAGACATCCAGTAAGGACACTAAGATATTCCAATGCTCTTTTCGGGCGAAACTCGGGTTTGGGACAGGGTGAAGCGGATCGTCGAAGAAAACTTGGAATGCCCCCCCCCCTCCCTCCCTCAGAGACCGAAGCACAAAACGACCTTGCTCACAAGCAGAAATATGAAAAGGTTGTTTCATTCTTCTAACTTTCCATAAAAAAGTCCTGCTTACCCCACCCTCTACAAAAAAGTCGTTCAAAAGGAAGTGTAAAAGTAGAAAAAGTCAAATAATGATCGTAATCAATCAGTGAGTGCTACCAAACAAGCAAACGAGAAACGGAGCAAGAAATGACAAACTACCACTAAAATTGGCATGCTATGACAACATCTCTTCCTTGTTATTTCTTTCCGGAGGACTTACCGAATTTTAGTGTAACACAGAGTATGGTTCTCAATTTACACGTCCCCCTTTCAGTTGAAAGAATCCTTGTAACCGCCTTAGCCACCTGGGTGTTGATTGTTCTTTTGCGCTGGCCTTGAAGCAACTTATCTACTATTGAAATTTGAACACATATTTAAATGATTATAACTTTCTTCAAGTATGACGAGTTTTCAATCTGTAAACGCTGGTGGAGGTTCTAGAAGGGCTCTTTTCGGTCAGTATTGAAATTACGAGAATTAATAAGAAATAACGAATTTAGACCACTTAAGAATAAAAATTCATGATGAGCATGAGTTTTTACACTTTCCGAAGCCATAACTTGCTTCATTTCTGTCAAATCTGAAAAGTTGATAGAGCAGACAAACTAGAAGATTTTCTCTATCAAGCGGTTACCGAAGCAGCTTTATACGTCCAGTACTGAAAAATGGCCACGTTGAGGATTTTTGCAAAATTAGAGGAAAACTCGTGATGAGTACGAATTTTTACGCTTCCCAAAGCCACCTGCTTCATTTTCATCAAGTCTGAAAAGTTAATAGGTCATCATGAACTAGACGGTTTGCTCTATTCAACGGTAACTAGAACTACTAAATACGTCCACAGTTTAAAAAAATGGCCACGTTGAAGATTTCGGCCTGAGTACCGCCGAAAGGTTCTTCTTCGCTACACAGACACTATTTCAACGACCATAGCTCCCTTCAGAGGCGATTATGTTGGGTTGTCTCATAATTCCTGTCGCAATTTCGACACTTTTGTTTATCCAAGTTTTATCTCTTCTGGGAAACAACTGACTACTAGCATAACCACCATCATGGTCGCTGATATGCGTGCATTTACTAGTGGGCGTCTGGAAGCTTCCAGCCCAGAATGAAGAAAGCTGGGGGTTGAAGAATATGGAGAAGTCGTTTTTGGGGTGACCGCAATCTTTAACTTTCTTCTCTGGCAGATTCTTATTCAGGGCGCAGGGGAGGTGGTAGTCCGACGGAGCGATGCCAATGCTACATGATGGATGAGGTATCGTGCCCTGGCTATCTCCCCCCACAACGTGGTTGATTACGCATAGCAATGTGAGGTCTGGTGTACAGTCGGAGGGAAAGGAGGATCTGAGACGTTCTGACATTCTCTCGCCAACCCAAAGCCAGACAAGAGGGCTATTCGCGCGACTTTAGCAAATGCTTGTCTCCTCCATAAGGTCTCCATCAAAACGTCACTCTGTTAGTCGCATGATCGTCAGCGGGTCGATACGACCACCCCCTGTGACGTGTCGAGAATTCCTAACACGTGACGCTGGTCGAGAGGGGGGGGGAGGCGCGGAGGAGGGCACGCAATGGCGCGCGCTCTTTTCGTATTGCCTCCTCCAAGGCCTAGTCACCTATTGCACGTATTTTGAAATGCACTGATGGAGGAGTAACTGTCCCCGGGAACTAAGCCTTGGAGAGAGCAGACGACAGAGCGCGCGTCATCGCGTGCCCTCCTCCCCCCCCCCCGAGGCGATGTTTCGCCTCTTTTCCTAGTGGGAAGAACTGTTTTTGCGGAGCGTTTTTCGGAGCGTTTTAAGGCGCTAATTGAGTTGGGGGAATACGCGGCGGCGCTGTTCTCCAAGCGCTATGCTAAGCTTATGCCTAGGAAGGAGTGGGTAAGCTATGGATATTATGGTTTGTGATTGACTTTTGGCACACTTGAGCCTCCTTCTAGGCTCAGGCTCAGTGCCATTGTGTTCGAAGGCGGCTACGCGCCATATGGTTCCCCCTCCCCACCTCGCTTAGCACCGTTATGTCGGAAAGCTTGGAAAAAGTAAACATTCTATTAGGTTGATCCATAAGTCTTGCGACAAACTAGCTATGTTCTAATTTTAATAGTTATCTTTTTGTTCCACTCATCCAGCATGCTACACACCATCAATGTTTGCAACCTATTGCCAACGCACTTGAAGCTATTCGATGCCTCTTTTGTAGAACCCCGTTGAATGATAATCGAAGTAAGATCAGGTGTCGATTTTGACATCACGACGCTTAGGATGAAATTTCTTCTCTAGGACGTGGTCAGGAGAGGGAAGCAGGTGGACACCCTACGGCTCGAGGTCGGAGCTATAAGGTGAATACTCTCCGTCCGATAGTCCTAAAATTTCCCTGGATTTTCCTAGCAAGGAATGATTCAACGGTGTCATGAAAAAGCAAACTTTGCATTGCTTTTCTTTTGCTGCTTGTATGTGTGGTGCGTTTGTGGTGTGCTTGGTATCTTGCATGTCGGCAGAGCCAAAAGCTTACATTCAAGTGACTGGGAAGTACATGGAAGGCGATTCGGACCGCTTCCAAAAGCAAAGCCTCTTGTTGCGTTCCGGTGGCTAGCTACCTGGAGGTCTATCCACGTCCCCACGACAGAGCGTGGTAAGCTACTCGTAGGCCCGGTCAGCAATATATATATGAGCCTCAATCCCCTGAACCTGAGAGAGCCCCAATACGGCAGCGTTGGGTGGACCGCTCGGGCGAGGCGCCTAAACAAAGGACTAAGATGGCGATCAGTGCTTTCAACCCACGGACGCTTCCATCCGAAGCTCATCTCGAAGACCTGATGATG